TCTCTCGTTCTCAGTAAACACTGTTGCTGACCTTATGTCGGTTACATACTCGTCTTCAGCGACGAGTATGCAGATCTGCTTGACTTTGCCACTACGCAGATCACGCAAGAACCTTTTATGTTCGAGCGTTGGCAACTGAGTGATCTCCGAAGTTAACTTCGGAGGCGCAATCAGATCAAGTGTATAAGCGCCTACACATGATCCGTTATTGACTATGACATTCAATGTCTCTGTCATTTCCTGGGGACTTATTCCCTCAGGCTTCGAAGGACTTATTCCTTCGTCTTCCCGGGGACTTATTCCCGCGGGTTTCGGGGAACTTATTTCCGCCGTATTTGTAATCTTGGGACTTATTCCCTTTACTTCCTCTAGCTGGGGTTGCGCAACCACAGCGAGATCCTCTACGAAAGACTCTCCAGTCGATCTAGGATTATCGTTTCGCTTAACCTGAGCGATCGATTGTTTCTCTTCTAGATGTTCCCCTCTAGGGATACATCTTTGTCCCAGTCCACCCGACTTATTCGAGTGGTGGACCTTCGGCGCAGCCTGTGTTTCCTCACAGCCGCCGGAACTTTGCTCCGAAGTGTAACCGTTTGGTACACTAAGGTTTTGTGCAGTCGTACTAACGACCGTACCACAAGTGAGGCCATCGCACTCACTCATAGTACATCCACACGCTTGTGGACGCTCCAAAACGTTCATCAGATGGCCATCTGATGAACAAGCGGCAGGCATCGTTACTGTCCGATGTTGCCAGTTTACCCGTGGTTCGTACCTTCTGAGCCACGGTATTCCAAGGATGACATCAAATTTGTCATCCAAATCCAATACGATAAAGTCATCGTCGTATTGGGTATCTTCTAGCGTATAGTGGATCTTCACTATACGCTTCATGACGGTTACGGATGCGCCTGTCGCAAGACGTACCGTCATCCTCGTAGGAGGTGTGTCACATTCACTGAATTTAAAGTGACCATCTTCTAGCGATTGGCGTCGCACAAAATTGTTGGACGCCCCACAATCGACTAGAGCTCGAAGGGACAACTTATTCGTCACTTCGAGTTTCAAGGTAATGAGTGAGATCTCATTACCTAGAGCAGCAACGCACAATGTCTGTGTGTTGGGAGCAACCTTCATCAAGAGGCCTACAAATTCTCTTGACGTTGCTGGATCAGTAGGGTGCTCCGCACCTACTGATCCTGTCCGTTTTTTGACGGTCCATCCCGTTGTTGCGTCTTTGCACCAACTGCGGACCCTCGTCCCTGCCCCTTTCTCATGGGTGGACGGTCACTACGCCCAGTGTCGCGAGACACTGGACGAGGGGCACTACACCTCGTAAGCGTAGTGTCCTGTCTTTTGACATCTGTTGCATCTCTGCAACTTCTTGTAGCCTGTAGAGCGAGCCTTCTCGCTCTCTACATAACAGAGTTCCATCGGCTCTGGACCTCCGTTGTCATATCGTCTCGGTTGACGATATGATGTCGAGCTGGCGCGAGCCTGTCTCAGACTGAAGTCTTCCTGCTTCGCAATTGAAATGGCTTGTTCTAGTGAATCTAGTTCAAGCCGGAACAGGTGAGTCTTGACGGGACCATCCGCAAGACCCTGCATGAACACCGAAACCAACGTGTGTTCATCCACCGGATTGGAACTTATACAACTCGTGAGATGTCGTATATGTTGAGCGTAAGCGTGCACATCACGCTTACCCTGCTTGAGCTTCAAGAGTTCGGTTCGAGCTCTGAACTCAGCTCTAGGCGGTTCAAACGTTTGTCTGAGCCGCGACTTGAAGACTTCCAACGACCCAAACGCGTATGGGTCGTGCAGCTTGAGCCCCAGTGCCCAAGTCTTGGCACGTCCTGCCAGATTTGACTGGGCAAATGCAACTTGCATATCCCCGTCGTCGATGCGACGCGCCCTTATGGCGTCATCCAATTCGACGAACCATCTCAAGAGGGAGTCTTCTTCGACCCCTCTATACTTTGAGATGTCAATCTTCAAAGTCTCGGGTCGACGCGAGTGCATCGACCCGCCAGCAGCAGCTTGCTGCTGTCTCAACAGTTCAAACTGTTGAGCACCTTGTTCTCTCAACAACTCTGCTTGTTGAGAACCTTGTTGGTGAAGCAAGGCTACTTTCTCGCGTTCTGCGTCAAGTTCATTTTGAATGAACTTGGCGATAGTAGCATGTTGGGCATCTCTATTGAGAGCCTCTAGCATGACGCTAACAGCATGGATGCCCATGGTCGAACCCATTCGTTCAACCGCATCCCATTCGACATCGCTCAAATGGGAGTAGCCGTCACGCGTAGCGTGAAAGCTTTGGTCATCTTCATCATCCAACATATTCATGTTGGATGTGAACGCGGTCCTTGGACGGACTACGAAGTGCTACCAGGTGTAACGGGGCACCCTGAAGCTTGTACTGGTGACAGTACAAGCTACTTATTCTGATAACAGAATAAGGCGGTGCCTCGTAACTTCACGTACACTCGTACGTGCAGAGGAAGACGGTAAGAAGAAGCGAGTACTCGGTTAGAGTAAAAAGTAGAACTGTATTTATAATAGTTAATGTCTGCAATAAATCACTATTTATCTTCATCTAACTATGTCTAAATACAAATGTGTAAATCAGTTATCTGCTCACCACTCATTGCGTGCGTCTGTCGTGGCGCGTCTTCGTTGGTTGATATAATGGCCTATATCAACCAATTAGGAACTACTTGGAAGTGCTACCGAATATTGTCCTTATGACAATATTCTGAGAATATAACTCTTATAGTTATATTCTATTAACAATTTCTTATAAATTGTTATGTAACGATTCACCCCGTTACAATTTTGCGTCTGTCTCATCTGGAGGTCGAGGTGAAACAATAAACTCATTTTAAGAACGCCTAAAATCGTAAGCACCCAAAGCACAAATAGCGATTGTAAAATGATCAGGTATCAAGGTAGCTTCTTCTATACTAAAGTACTGCAGTAAGTGTTAGTGCATCGGATATCCCACGTGATAGTCGATCTCAGCTCCTGCCGATGGCCTCCATATCCTGAGAAAATGATGCAACAAAAATAAATTATCTTTATCGTTCACAGCCGTTTTACGTTGATCGAAGCAGTCACGCATTCGTATCACCAATCTTTCCCAGTGGTAACTTTTGTCCCTGACATTATTTATCACGTCCCAAGCAACAATAACTGCTAAGAAAGAAAACTGGGTGTGACACGCAAGTTAAAAAGAGCGCAGATATATAAATATCAGTTAAGACGAAGCGGTGCCACCAGAAACATTGAAATATACTTGAAAAGAATTTGCGCAGCCAGAAAAGGATGTTCATTTAATATCATGAGACAGGAGATGGATGAACGATAGTCGTTGTTTGACCATGTTTTTGTAGCTACAATTATCTTTTTAAATGAAGGCCTAGCTTCCAAGGCATGAGCCATGACAGAATGTGCTCGTGCACGATACGAGATTCACCATATTGGTAATTGCAGTTTTCATTTGCCTTCTCTCACACAAGTGCAAAAACGGCTAATACTATGCGACATCGTTCAAGCCCCGTTTGTTCGTTGTCCTCTCGCTCCAATTTTTTTCGCTCTCGGTTTCTTCTTTTCGACGTCGTCTCCTTCTCCGTCGTGCTCGCCTTGCCGCCAACCCGTAGCCGCCTACGTTCTCGGTAGATCGCTGACAACTCATCTTCTTCTGTGGTAACACCTTTGTTTGCTTTTGCTTCCTCTGCTTGTTAATCTATCGCGTCTTTTCTTTTTGCTTCCTTGTTTTTGTCTGATACCTACTGCTTATTGCGGCTGGTGGAGAGACCGTAACAACTTCCATTCAAGGGATTTACAACTTGCGTCGTTCTAAGTTAGAATACTGCAGTTACGTTGCGCCGTGTATTAAGGTACACTTAGCGCTTCGTAGCTTCCGGTAGAGACGCTCTTTGCTGTGTGTGGGAAGAATCCCTCAAAGTTAAAGTTCGCCCCTCTTACCGCAGACAGTCATCCGCGTAGACGACTTAAGTCGTGAGTTATTAGTGCTCATGGTGAAGTCACGCCCTTCTTCTCGTCGCTCGGAGTTCCCCCGTCAGCTTTTAGCGGACTCCTGGCTTGAAATTAGTGAATCTGAGCTTGCACTTTGCAACATTGACGCCTTGCGTCTTAATGCGTTAAAACTTGCTCCGACGCCTACTAGTGCGTCGGAGCTGCATCGCATGTGAGTTCCTTGCCCACATGCCATCAAGCGCAAGCACCTCGCCGAGGTGCTTAATAGCTTGCGAAGGACGATTAACCACAGTTGTGAAAGGACGCTCGACAGGCTCGTCTTTTGCAAAACTTAAATCTGATTCCTGATGCAGGTATCCGGTTTACTCGCACGGCCTACGACACTGCGTTCAGCTTAGCTTGGGTAAACTCAATGCGTTTGGCTCGCAAATCGAAATCGCTAGATTTTCGCGATACGGTTCACATTACTACGTCGATCTGATCCGTCTTCCTGACGAAGTAACGGGCCGTACGATTTTGATTGGTTTGCGGAACGTCAGGCGCATCCTACGTGCGTGCTACCAACTTTCGTGCAAAAAGACCTTCCTCCGCGGGATATAACCATTCATTGCGGACAGGCCCAGGCCCCGCCTATCCTCGTCCCATCCCAAGAAAACACTCTTCGTGAGATCGAAATCTCGTTGCCGGACGACGGCGTGGTCAAGCTTCGCGCTTGTTTTGTTAACCACAAAGTCGCACGATACATCAGGGTTACGCCTCCCTCTATTCGTCTTCGCAACGAAGGAGAAGATCAAAAGGCGGCGGATTCGGCGATTTTTCGGTCGATGGTACGATCTGCTCAACCAAGGAGCCTTTCCCAGCTGTTCCTGAGACATGCATTTCATCTCTTCATATTTTTGCTCAGGCCCTAAGTGGATTCTTTACTGGATTCTTCTGCTGTGGCTGTCACACCATCGTTTTCTAAGATCCATGACACTACCTCTCCCACGTACGACGTTGCGATGCCGGATGGGGGTGGGGAGAGTGATGTGGAACACGCAGAAATTGATGGCTCCGTCCAGCCGGAGTTCAACTTCAAGGGGTATTTGGGTGAGGTTATCAGTACTCCTAAGTACCAGCCAAGTACCGCGCTATTCTCTAAAGCGGGTACTAAGCGCCGTGCTCTTTACGGTCGATTGGGCTCCGAAAAGATTACGGACAAAAAAAATGTCTACGATATTGACCACGTCAACGGCACTGCCCACGCCACCGACATCATCAGGCCCAATTACTACAGTCCTTTGTGATTCAAGTATGCTAATCCTGATGTTGCGCTATGGCAATACAATCTTGAAGTTCGCCTCGAGGTGAACGATGAGGATTGCATGGAGAGTGCTCAGGTTACGGCTGCCACTCCTAAATGCCTGGCCATGGTATCCCCTTTTAACTTGCAGTTTCAGGTTGAGCAAATGTCTCGCATTGAACTCGTTTAGTATGCTGACTCATACTTTAAGGGGTTCGAGTGATCGACCCCCTTAGAAACAACTTGCCACAGCTAAGGCTAATCCTGGGGTTTCGATGTCTTCCATGGCGTCGGAAGACTGCTTAGTCACTCTCGCTCATTACCGCAGTGTCTGTCGTCTTTTGTCCCAAGCTCGTACCGGTACAAGCTCGGAGCAACAACGGTGCATGAGGGCGCTTAACGCAACCGGCAAAGCAAAAACCATGATCAATTAAGTCATGAGTCAACAAGAGCTGATGTTGAAGGAGAAGAAACGAAGTGCTGTTCATCCTTTCAATTTGGGATCTACATCCATATTATGGCACTTACGGTGTACCAAGATCCACACAAGCTTTTCGTCTTGACCGACACTATCCCGAAATTCCTCATTACTTTGTGATTCCGCTGCTTTCCGACAGCAATCTTTGGCTGCTCGGTTTTAGCTGTTTTGCGAAAGACCTTCTGCAGTACGAGTCTGTTCCCGACTTTTTTAAGACTTTGGTTCAGGATGTTCAAGCATTATAGCCTGATGCGGAAGGACTCTTAACGCTTCGCCTTCACTTCTCGGCAGAAGGCATGGGCCTATAAGGCGGTTTCACTCAATGTGAATGGGTTGAACAAGCCCCGCCTTCAGTTCTGCAAAGATTAACTATCACATATCACGTCGTCGCTTTTCAGAAAATCAAGCTTTGAAGTCAACAGTTGCTTCAATACAACGACTATTTTCTGTACGCCACGGATGCCCGAGCATGTTCGTTTTGGTTGCATCCCACTTCGACCGAGTTTGGGCTTCGCAATGGTGTTGCTCTGCTTTTTAATGTAGCACACCCTTTTCAAGACCTTCGGGACGATTCTGCGCTTTTTGCCAATACTGCGGTAGTAGGCAATTGGTATTTGGTGGTTTCTGCCATTTTGTGTCTGATTTAAATTTATTTTTTTAATGTCGTCTATGGACCAGTTCGATCCGAAGATCAAGCCATCTACTATTCAAGTTTACCAAGATCTTTCGACAACTCTGCGGTCCATTTAGTCAGGGGTAATTTTAATATGAGTATGGAACCATTTCTGGACCGAGCTACGCCTGGATCCACTTTTCACGACACTGGTCGTGCTGAGCTTTTTGACTGGATAATAGGCCTCGGCCTCATCGTTTTTGGTGACTCAAAACCCCCAATCTGCGCGAGTTTACGGGTCCCAAAAATCCAAGATTGCATCGACTACTGCTTGGCTGGTATCGCTTTTACGAAAAGTTTGCTCGTTCGTCTACTCATCTTTTGGGTGCCAATTTTGGGAGCGCGGATCATGTACCAGCGGCTTTTTCTGCATCGTCACATTCACCACCCCAATTACTTTACTAACTTTCAAGTGCCCGACTTGCCTTCTTAAGTGTGACCAGGCTCAAGATCAAATCTCCCGTATTTTTTAACGCTTGGCTTCAGTATCGGATCCAAGCAAAAATCCTGGGTGTCTTTTGGATGAGCACAAACGGCGCGATCGAATTTTTCTTTGTTAAGAATATATTAGGCGGAAGGATGCTACTGCAAGTCCACTCCAGCACCTTCTTAAGGTTTCACGAGATCGCGAGCAACATTTCTCTATGGATGCAAGTGATGATAATCGGCTTCAACGCGATCAGTCCCGTCAAGCCTATTTAAACTATTTGATGGCTCTTCGCGACCTGAATGCCGCTTACAAGTTTGATTTGGATGTTAGTTCGGGTGAACGATTTACTAAACATTTTTAGGGCTCCCGATGCGGCAGTACTCAAACTGTCGATATCTTCTGTCGACACGTCGTCAGGGAGGTTAAGGGACGCGTCAATGATTTTTTTTTACTCATCAATATTGAGGCACCGTTTTCGATCGAGCCTTTCGCGATTTGGAGGTCGTTCCCAGCTTTTCGATCCTTCCAAATTCCAAGATATTCTTCAACACAGCCATCGGAAGCATATTGAAATTACGCCGCTCTTCTCGACGCGCCGATTACGGCTAGTGCTTTTTCCACGCTATTAAGCATACCATTCGTGGGAAGTCGCCGGGTCCAGATGGATGACCTGCGGAGTACTACTAGTTTTTTGGTGCCAAGTGGGCTCAAGTTTTGGAGCTTGTTTTTGCGGCTCAATTTCGGCCAGGTCGCATGTTCGAGTTCCAACGCCGCGCCTACGCCTCTTTACTCTTTAAGAAGGGATCGAGATTGGACCACAAGAACTATCGACCTTTGAATTTGCTGAATCAAGATGCCGAGTTCGGCCCAAATGCACTGGCTTATCGCCTTAACCAATTTTTGCCCAGTTTACTGGATGTTAATCAATTCGGCTTCGTGCCTGGACGCGACATCCGGCACGCGCTTTGTTGTTTCCATGACCTTTAAGATCACTGCCGACGGAGTAATTTACAAGATCCCACCGGTGCTATTTTCCTCGACTTTTTCAAAGCTTTTGATAGTGTCATCTTGCAAGCTTTGGATCAAAATCTTTAACTATGGGGATCCGGGTTCAATTTCCGACACTGGGTGAAGACATTTCTTCGGGGTACACTTGCCCAAGTATTTATTAATTTTTTCGCGCTCGGACTTCTTCAGCTTAGATGCAGGCGTTCGTCAAGGGGATCCACTAACGCCCGGTATGTTTTTGATCTCTGGTGATCATTTGCGGTGTTACCTTCGGGCAACTACAGAAATTTATGCCACTAATATTCGCACTACCTTTCATCAGCTCGTCAGTTTTGCTGATGATGTTACAGGTTTGGTTAATGACCTTTCTCATGACCCCAAGTTTCTGGATCGTGTTCAAGATTTTTGTGGCGCCACTGGCATGCGGCTTAATGTGGACAAGACGGTCATCTTTCCTCGTTAGGCCATGGACTTCTTCGTACATCAACCTTCAAAGTCGGCTTTGGTATTTGGGCGTTTGAATTCTCACGAATGAAGAACACACTACACTATTGTGCGTTACTTTTGGGCCGGCTGTTAAACCACAACTATAACTTTTACAGCTTCTTGTTCGGTTGCAGAAGCTCTGAGTGGATTGACGATGGCGTGCTCGCACCCTGCGGGGTCGAGTGCTCATTCTCAAGACTATGATTCTTTTAACATTTTGGCATTTTTTTGTAAGTACTGTGGCCGTGTCAAAGAAAGATCTGCTTTAGTTTAATTTGCTTAAGTGGAACTTCATCATATGTATCCCATCAAGTACAGTGACCGACCAGCGTCAAGAGGTCAATTTTTCAAGCGCACGGCACCCCATGGATGCATTTTCGGGCGGCCTTAGGTTACCTTCGACTTCAACTTCGGTAGAGCTCCTTCAAGTTAATCTCATCCGGCAGATAATTCGTCAAAGCCGTTAAGACTACACCAGTCCGCCCTAGCAAGTTGTCCCTGCTCAAGCTGCGATTGACTCGGATTTCGGCAATCAAGGTTCGGGTTTGGATTTTTTCAATATCTCGCTTTCGCCTTTGGCTCAATCTTCTCGCTAACAGGCCATTTCCCGACCACTAGAAGGCTGCTACTGCTACTTGGAGCACCAATTTTTTCCCAAGCTTCAATCTATGAACCCAGTTTTGACTAAGCTTACATGGCCGATTTGGAATAATTTTTACATATGGTTTACGGAGGACAAGCAGACACTTTCAGTACTCCATCGAAAGGCCTGCAATATTCTCAGTCATCAATAAGTCATGAGGATTTCGACTTTCTCTCTGTTTTTGGCCCGCTTCTGGATAAAGATACTCTTCAGAATTCTTTGACTTCCTCTTTGATCAATCCGTGCCGCTCAATGACTTCTATTGCGCAAAATCTGGCTCCGCGACTTGCTTTACCCGCAAACTATCAAGATTTCGCAATTTTTCCGCTGCCGCCTGAAAGGATGGTCGGCGCACTTCATGTATGGACTTTCGACGGAAATTGACATTGCCACAGCGTCAAACCGGGTCATCAAGCGTCTGTTACTTGACCAAGAGCCGCCGCCCGTTCCACTTCTATATCTTTCAGTTCCTGAAGTGGTTATTGGGTCTTCACATTGGGCGCTCGAACGGCTTATCCAACGCGGTGTTCTGCCAGTCTATTCTGACTTCGTCTTTCAGATCCAGCATACTGGACTTGGTTTCCAATACAAGTCCAATGGCAAACGGCGGATATTAATTGTGTTCACGGTTGTGTGACTCCGGAAACGCCTCATCATTTACCATTGGATTGTTATATGGCCAAGCGTCTTTGGTGATTGTTTCTTCCCCCTTTTTCAAGAGTTTTCCAGTCTACGAACGGCTGGCCCTAAGTTTTGTTTCTGCTTAAATTGGACGCTCCGGTGCATCACCAAGATCTGTTTGGCTCGCTAACTCCGGTTCGACTCTTAAACATGGTCCGCAGTGTTATTTTACGGACGCTTTGGCTACATCACAGCAAGGCGATTTTCGAGACCCTGCTCTACAAATTATGAATATCTTCCGTCAATGTCTGACCATGGTTTGTCGTTATCGTCAGCGTTTTTTTCAAGACGATTACACACCCGCGAAAGAGGAACAAAGGCTTAGCTTCTTGCTGTTAGTGATGAATGGTATCGACTCAAGGCTCATCTTCTTGCTTTCAGTGATGATTGGTATCGCGACTTTGCCAGAAATTCCTACTATCTTCTTGCGGAATAACTTCACGATTTTTAATGATTTTCCCAGTCTTTTCAAGCTAATTAAGTCGCAGTTTTTGCGAATAACTTTAAGATTTCAAGAATTTTACCAATCTTTACAAGCTTTTCAAGTTGCAGTTTTTCTTTGCGGAATAACTTCAAAATTATAACGACTTTGTTGTCTTTTTAAGCTATTTAAGATGCTGTTTCCCTTGCGAAATGGCTTCAAGACATTCAAGTTTTTACTTGTCTTTTCAAGCCATTCAAGTTGCTGTTGTGCTTCAACATGGACAACCCAAGCGTTTTGCTTAAGTAGGACACTTTCGCCTGTTATACAGTCGCTACTTCCGACTTTCGCCCCGTTTTTTTGGTCGGACTTCGGTTTGCGCCGCGCCCATTATTTAATTTTCGAATATATCCTTTTTAGGATTTACATTTTCCATTTAGGTAGAATTAACCCTTTTTTAGTATTATGGTGAGTATTCTACCATATTGGCAATTGTGAATTTCAAAAACGTGCAACTATCTTTTCATCTTGAAGAATTAGTAGGGCGTACAAGTAATCAAATTGAATTTACAAGTGTCGACGATTAAATAGGCAAAAAGGACTCGCTTTATCACGTGTGATCATAGATATGGAGCTTAATATAATGGAATATTTAATTTGAAGTTTCTTCGAAACGCAATTACTTTGCTCTGACTTTGCCCACCGTTTTCATTAAAGTGGTGAGTGCCTACATATATATAAACTTGTCAAAATCAACACACTTTGGATTTCTCGGAACACTTTGCTAACGTCATATTTCACATATAGCAGCCGCTGCGAAGAGATGTGAAGTGTCCTTGCCGAATCAGATGGACAGTCCGGACTTTCCCAGCTAAAATTGAGATCGGAGACCAGCCACACTTATCTACACCGGGTCTTTGATGAATTGGGTTGTCTCGGACCGTGGCTAACGCGGTCTTTTGTTGTCTTGCTAGTCCACCGATCCAAGCCGCTGATGCGGTTCCCAACGCGCTACATGATTGTACATGCTATAGAAACCCGGGCTCGTCCAGATACCTGCTGTGCTTTGTGTTTTCATTATTTTTATACCCGACCGCGAGTACATCGGACAACAACGTCAACGTGCTGTAAAAATCCGTCTCATTTTCTATGATCTGATCATCTTTGTGTCAATTACTTTAACGTTATTGTACGTATCATGAACGAGGATACTCGGCTAGAAAACACGTGCAAACAGCAAAATCGGCATATCCGGTTGCTCACTAGTTATAATCCCATCGTCAAAATCAACTTCTTTACGAAAAAAATTGATCGACACGGCGAGTTAAGCATTGACACAACGAAATTGTACGAGACAGCACACGTAAACACGCTAATATTACTGTGTTCTAAGGACTTGCGACACAATTTTGCTGTTGTCGTGATTTTTGCTTGTGGTGCTGATGGTCCACAAAAAACGGAGAAAACTGCTGGAGTCCTGCAGAATTTGTGTCGCTTTCAGACCCATGAGCATGACTAGGCAAAACAAAGGTAATAAACGCGCGCATGGGTGTTAAGATGTAACAAGGAGCCATCGTTTACGAATTTTTTGTGCGTATTCATTGCATTGACCGCATATGATGCATGCTAATGTACCAAAATATTAATGTTGGCATCCGTAAAAGGCCCATCTCCTTGGTGATAGCCGTGATCGTGATTGTGAACTTACCCATGGCTGTAACCGTGTTCATGACGATGTATACGGTCGTAGTAATACTTATGGCATGAGATCTTAACATTTTAAGCTACAGCTTTCCTTAAGTGATGTTTCATCCAGCTTTACATATCACACTATATCTACAACACAAGTTTGTCAGAGTTCATTCCCCTGGACGCTCTTGAGCTTGTTTTTTTCTAAATGTAATTCAGCTCTTTCAGTTTGTGCATTACAATTCCGATACTCAAGTCACTCACACATCAGCTCACATGATAAGGCGTACGTGAATCAACGTCTTCAAATTGTCTAAATGACGCTTTGTCTCCTTTAATAATTCAGTAATTAACTTTGGTATAATAATTACCATGACCGAGTACTTAGTGCTCTCCATTTGTACACTGCACTACAGCAGGCGTACACTTACGAAAATTTGGATCTTACTGAAGCATTTCGTTTCGCGAAATCCACCAAAAGCGTTCGAGTCGAGATTCCTGATTACCGTAGTGAAGTATTATGTCCGGATGTTTCATCATTACGTGCGCGACGTCTAAGTCAGGAGTTTCACAATCAAGCCAAAGACCACAGAACCTGGAAACAGCGGCGTTTATTGATACGAAGATCGACTTGAATTGCAAAGTAAATGAAGATTCGAAATTAAAAACAAGACCATTGACACAACCACGATCTTGTTCTTGAACAACCGAGGCAGCAATTAGCTTTTTAAAGACTTTACTTTAATACAAATAGTACATAAAAGCACGACAATCGCATTAAGTAGATATGTTAACTTTTCCACAAATCCCTCGAGCACCGACTGAACGGCCACGGCTCCACAGTACTGGAAGGGGTTCATCAAAGCTCCTTCAATAATTCCTCTTTAGATTATCGACCGATGCGCCTTTTATTGATACGTTGTTGGTGTGGTAATAGCTGAATAAAGCGATCTTGAATTTAAGACGGAGCTTGTTTCATAGTCGGATTGGTTTTACACTTTTGACCGGTGTTCTCATCGCGATGAAGCCACCACTAATCATGAAAGCATCTTTTGAACCGCCCACGCGTTGCAAGAACATCTTCAACGCGATGCAAACAAAGTGATCCAGTTATTGACGCGAACAAATTGACTAATTGTGCTCGGGCGAAATTCTTGCCTTTTTTACCTCTTCATGAGCCTTCTTCAGTGCGGAAGCGATATTTTGCCTCCAAAATCAGCCCCAATACGGATAGGGCGATAAGTGTATTTGCACTGCTGTAGGCAATGTTGTGCCAAATGAACTTATCTGGATGACAAATTGCTATCAAAAAGATAGTAGGCACCAGCATAATTGCCCGTATACACTTGTTCGACATTTGACTGCACCACGCTTTCTTTCTGTAACTGAGCTGCACTAAATGCTGTGTCAGAGGAATACTTACAGACTCGTAAAACATCTTATTGTATAAAACCAAACGTGTATTATAAAAAGAGTCTCCGGTCTAAACCGACTTAGTGAGACTAAACTCTTAGTATCCGAACAAGTTCTTAAGTTATTAGTCCTGGTTCAGGGGACTAATGAATTTAAGGAATCACGTGGTACTAAAGTCTAAGGGTAATGAACTAAACACAGGATCTTGACTATTACAATCGAAGAAGTCGTTGAAAGACACGTGTCTAAAAACTAATCAAAAGAGAACTAAGTGTATTTACTTATTTGAAGCGATAATGAACATCACTTACGTATTTAACCTTGAAACTATGCTACCTGACTGAGAAGTTGTCATGGAGGTTCTTCTGTTGTTACCACACCAGAACTACGCCGTGTTTTGAAGATCCTAGTATCATGTAACAATAAGCGATACAGTACGGCATTACCGCTTAGCGTATGTGATATAGTAATACGCCTATCAGTTTCGAAAATCTCTTTGTGTGTATAAAATGCCAGATACCTAATTATCACAAGCGTTTGTGTTACCTCATTACAACCTCGCCTCAAATAATTGCTGCATTTCCAAGACGCCGCTACTTTTTGGTCTAAGCAAGGATGGAACAGTTTTTATGCCGCAGCCAAGTTCTATCGACGTCTTCGTAGACTGACAACGGTAGAAATCGCATATGCCATCCCACTTTGTCGCATTCGGCAGAATGTCGATTGATTAATAAAGCTGTTTCAAGTGCGCCTCGAACGTTTTCCGAAATGCCAGGTGCAAAGTAGATTTAGCGCATTGGGAAAGTGCGTTCGAAGCGCAGTCATCAAGGCGAGTTCCCAATCCGTGACAATCACATCAGGGAGATGATTGGCACTGACTTTGTTTTTAAATGATCGATAGCCCATCTGTAGTCGTCTTCTTGCTCGGCCGAAAGAAATGTGAGCGCGACCGAAAAGCTGTCATTACATGAGAAAACTTCGATAGTTTGTAGTATTGGCATCTTGAATCCAAAAAGCATAAAAATACGGCTGACACTGTTAAATTTCGCCATTCTAAATCACGGGTTATTTAAAATTTACTTAAATTGATCTTGAATGTACAATCTATGTTCATGACAAGTGAGAATTCTCTTACAAGTTGAACGCATTTGCCTAGTGCAAAGAAGATGGATAATTCGACCTTAATTGTTGCGGTCGCAACCATGCTGAATGTTGTTTGCCTGAAGCTGATTCAGCAAGGTTTTCATGGGTGTTCTTTCAGCAAGAGAGTTTTTCGGACCATCGCCTTTGCTTAGTATATCTACCTTTGAATGAGGTTGCAGTTTGAAACGCTCGAAGGACTGTCGCCAAGATAACCTTGGGTGTAACACCTGCTATTGCTACAGCACCGATCGTCGTGGAGTTCAAAGGATCAACTTTCCGCGCGGAGAGATAAACGGAGACGTCCTCCGAATTTTCGGGGTTGTGCTTGCCGTTTTCTACAGCCACAATAAACAGATAAAAACACAAAAACACAATTTTAAAAATTAACAGTACGGTCACTACTTTTATCGTTACTCACTGTATCCCATTTAATTGTGACGGTAAATGGACACTTGAGAATGCTTGTTGGGCTGTGAAGCTTCCGCGAACCCCCTGCGGTGTATTCCCGTCGGATCTTGTACTGTGTAGCATGAGAACAACCCAGCCAAACTATCCTGGCCTCACCTGCGCGGCACTTCTTCGAGTTACTTCTTGATAAGGTGTACCTTTCATTTATCGCATGGGAAAGCACCATCGTCTACGCGATCGTCAGCTATGCTTAGACATGCTCTGCTGACGGTGCATATACTTTCCTTTTTTTCAATCGATGTTTATAGCGCAACATGCTTGACACAGGTGGTATCGTGAATGACCTGCGAGAACACAAGATGATGACCAAGGTGATGGTCAAGATGATGACCAAGATGATGACCAAGACGATACCCAAGATGATTGCGAAGTACCTTCACTAGTTGGGTTAGTCTAGCCTACCATATAACCCTCCAACAAATACACATTCTCAATTTTACCTTTGACTCCGCAAAACCCCTCGAGCAAGGCTTGCGGACTGATTACTCCTCTGCAAGCCACGTGTGTGTCGTTTTGATGTATCAAATTTGGCAAATCAAGATCGAGAATCCCGTCGCCTTCAACATGGGACGGAACAATGAAGATGAGTACGTCACGTACACGATCGTGACGTGACAAGAAAGCACGACCGCACCAGGTGACTTTGCCAAGCTGAAGATTAAACGCTTTCGCGGAGGGTCCGCGAAGGACTGGCTCAAATGGAGCATGAAGTTTAAGAGCCTCGCAATAAGAAAAGGCTGGGGTGCTGACCAACTCACCGTTCAACTGCTCACGCTGATCGACGGAGATCTATCGCGTGAGGTCGAGCGCATCGCCAGCGAATCTTCCGAGAAAGGACATACGTTCGAAGGCTTCTACCGTGAGATCGGCTTACTCCTGGTTCCTGCGGATTACAGTGAAGACCTAGATGAGGAGCTATGGACCCTGACCAAGCGCCGCGACGAAACAGTTCAACGCTGCTTGGCACGTCTGCGAGAGCTTGCTCAAATGTACACCGAGTTGCCGCAGGATGCGCAAACACTTTCGGAGAATCAACTCTGTCGATACTTTCGCCGAGCTATGCCTACAAACTGGCAAGACAAGCTTGCTTTTTGTGAAATCTCCTGCGAAACCGTAACAGAGCTTGCGATGTACTTTGAGCGACTCGAAAGGAGCGGAAGACAGAATGGCCGGGAGCGCCAGAATGGTCAAGGAAAGAATGGTGAAAGGGGTCAAGGTCGGCGTGACCAGCAACGCCTGTTCAACGACCGTAATAACTGCAGAGATCGTCGCAACCAGCGCGGACATCATGACTCACACGAGAATCGTCCTCACAGACGGACTGTGACAGATAACAAAAAGCAAAACGACCGCCATGATGATACTGGTATGTGGTGTAAGTTCCACAAAACAAAGTCTCACAACTCCAGCGAGTGCTTCGCCCTGAAGAAGCAGCGCGAGTAGCACAAGCCAGCTGAGATGCAGACAACAGTTTCGAGCAAGAACAAGTATCCCAGATTTGAAGAGGAGTCAAGTGACAGTGACAGCGACAGCAACAGTGAGATGAAGCTCGTTGGTCTGGTCGCCAAGAAGCATACTAGCACCAAGCTCGCTCCGTTACGCATCAAGGTTCAGCTCAAGAACGCAAACATCAACTTTGAAGCGCTACTAGACAGTGGTGCATCAATGAGCATCATCAACCAGAAGAATCTGCAGGCTAATGTCCAGCTTGGACGTAAAAAGTCGCATCGTCGACCAAGTTTCAGACGGAAAATGGTGAGGTGACAAGTGATGGCAGCGCAGTCATTCAGTTTCGATTTGCATCCCTCAAGCCTTCAGCCATCATCACTCACAGGTTCGAAATTCTGGAGAAGAGCCAAGATGCTATTCGATTAATCGGGACATCATTACGTCATTGGGCATTGTGCTCAATTTCAAAGAAAATGTTGTTCAGTGGGATGGCCACTACGCGCACCTTAATACCGGTGTGTCACGCTCTTTCGAGGTGAGCGATTACGAAAGTCTCGAAGAAAGCAAAGAAATTGCTGAAAGTGCAGTCCGACCAGAAGAACTCATGCCCGACACACTACCCAACTCTCTCGTCGACGAATATCATCAGCTTCTTCGTGATAACATGAGCTTGTACGATGGTCACTTGGGAAGGATGAGGTTCGAAGATTACTTCTTGCCTATCTCACCTGACTACAAGCCCGTTCACGCCAAGCCATATCCTGTCCCACGTAGCCTCGAAGGAAAGGCGCGAGAGCTAATTCAACATCTGATTAGCACTGACGTGCTGGAGAAGATCTACGATTCGGAAATGGCATCGCCAGCCTTTTTTCTGGAGAAACCCAACGGTTCCCTGCGTTTACTGATCGACTTTCGTGAGCTCAACCGATTTTTGCAGCGCAGCCCATACTACGTCCCACGTATTCGAGAGATTTTATTACGTCTCGCGGGAGCGAAGTGTCTTTCTACGCTGGATGCAACATGGGGTACTACGAGCGTCGTCTCGCTACGTTAAGCCGTAATTACACTGCCTTCTGCTTACCTTTCGGGAAGTTCCAGTACAAGCGGCTCCCAATGGGAATTTCTACGGCGCCGGACGAATATCAAGCGTGCATGGAAAAGACATTTGGTGACCTGGATTTTGTCGTCGTTTATCTGGACGATATTCTCGTTTATTCTAGTAGCGAGAAGACTCACCTCAAGCACCTGGGTATCGTGTTTAAGCGTCTGAAGAAGTATGATGTTACGCTTAACGGCAAGAAGTGCCACATTTTACGCGAGTCTGTTGACTATCTTGGCTTTACTCTTACATCCGAGGGGATTCAGCCCCAGCAGACGAAGATTCAAGAAATCCAACAGATCGCCGTACCCAAGACCAGAAAGGAGCTACGCCGCTTCCTCGGGATGATTAATTACTACAGGGACATGGTACCGCACAAGACGACATCATGCCAGCCACTTAACCGCTTCACCAGCGCTAAAATCCCTTTGGAATGGATACCCAGTGACACGAAAGCGTTTCACGCTGTTCAGAAAGCGTTTGCGCAAGCGGTCCTGCTCGCGTTTTCCGATTTCGAGCAGCCATTTCACGTTTATGCCGACGCCAGAGGTAAGCAGATCGGCGGCATCATAATGCAAAGAAATTAGACACTTGCATGCTACTCGCGAAGTCTGAACAAGCACCAAGTGAGTTACACTATTATGGAACTCGAGCTTTTTTCGCTCGTGGAAATTTTGCGCGAATACCGCACCATGTTGCTCTCGGTTTTCCTGTGGTCGTTCACACCGACCACAAGAACCTCATATATCCTACCGAAAATAGCCTGCGAGTCAAGCGCTGGAAGCTTCTCCTTTCGGAGTACCGCCTCTCGATGCACTACATCAAGGGGGCCAAAAATGTTGGTGCTGACGCTTTTTCGCGGATGCGATTTGACAACTTAGAGACAAAGTCTAAGTTGCAGCTTGCGGAGGAGGTTTGTAGGACGACGGATGAGCCAGACTGTGTCATGCATGGTCCTGTCCTACGAGAGCACCAAGAGAAAGACGCCATGATCCAGAAGATCAAGACTTCCTGCCTTAAAGGCAACAACAACCCCGACTACCAGCTCCTACCGGTACTCGGCTGCACACTGGTTGCGTACCAAAAGCGCGTCATTGTGCCCGACAGCCTGCGCGATGACCTAATTAATTGGTACCATTTGAGTCTCAGCCACCCGGGAAGTGAACGCCAGTACAAGACGATGAGACAGGTGCTTTACTGGCCCGGCATGGAAGCCGATATAAACAAGGAGACGAAGAATTGTCTCGTTTGCAAGAAGGCCAGGGTACATGGAGGCAAGCAAGACTACGGATTATTGCCACCTCGGACACTCAAGACAGTGAACCCTTTCGACTCGGTTCACGCTGATTTAATTGGTTCCTACGAGGATGGATATTATGGCATCACTATGGTCGATCACGCCACGCGTTGGCTGGAAGTGGGTATCCAGCCTGATAAAGTTCTCTGACCACAGCCGAGAGCTTCGATCGTGAATGGCTTTGCAGATACCCGCGTCCAGTAAAAGTCATCCATGACCAAGGGACGGAGTTTACGGGTGAAGAGTTTCAGGAGATGCTGCGCAGCTACGGAATTCAGTCCAAGCCCATCACAAGCAAGAACCCACAAGCAAATGCGATATGTGAGCGCGTGCATTTGGAGATTTTGAATGTCATCCGTTGCTACGATGGAATTGACTGGAAGAAGACCATAGACTACGCTGCGTTCGCCGTGAGAGCCAGCTACCACAGCATTCTCAATGCTTCGCCAGGTCAGCTTCTCTTCGGACAAGACATGATCACTCGCCAGCTTTATAATGCTAACTGGAGCTACCTATCCAAGCGCCGTTTCGATGCAATCCTTGCTGACAACGACCGCAAAAACAGCAAACGTCTTGAGCATTTGTACAATGCAGGCGATCACGTGATGCTGCGGATTCCCAAGCAATTTCGTGCGAAGCTTCACGCCGTGGCACACGGACCGTTTCTATTACGTGCAGTTCATGACAACGGAACTGTCACTATAGACAAGGGCAAAGCGATCGAGCGTGTGAGCATCCGCCGCATTTTTCCATGCTGATTCTCACAGATCATGGGGGAGTATGACACAGGTGGTATCGTGAATGACCTGCGAGAACACAAGATGATGACCAAGATGATGATCAAGATGATGACCAAGATGATGACCAAGACGATGACCAAGACGATACCCAAGATGATTGCGCAAGTACTTTCATTAGTTGGGTTAGTCTAGCCTACCCTATAACCCTCCAACAAATACACATTCTCAATTTTACCTTTGACTCCGCAAACCCCCTCGAGCAAGGCTTGCGGACTGATTACTCCTCTGCAAGCCACGTGTGTGTCGTTTTGATGTATCAAATTTGGCAAATCAAGATCGAGAATCCCGTCGCCTTCAACATGGGACGGAACAATGAAGATGAGTACGTCACGTACACGATCGTGACGTGCCAAGAAAGCACGACCGCACCAGGTGACTTTGCCAAGCTGAAGATTAAACGCTTTCGCGGAGGGTCCGCGAAGGACTGGCTCAAATGGAGCATGAAGTTTAAGAGCCTCGCAATAAGAAAAGGCTGGGGTGCTGACCAACTCACCGTTCAACTGCTCACGCTGATCGACGGAGATCTGTCGCGTGAGGTCGAGCGCATCGCCAGCGAATCTTCCGAGAAAGGACATACGTTCGAAGGCTTCTACCGTGAGATCGGCTTACTCCTGGTACCTGCGGATTACAGTGAAGACCTAGATGAGGAGCTATGGACCCTGACCAAGCGCCGCGACGAAACAGTTCAACGCTGCTCGGCACGTCTGCGAGAGCTTGCTCAAATGTACACCAAGTTGCCGCAGGATGCGCAAACACTTTCGGAGAATCAACTCTGTCGATACTTTCGCCGAGCTATGCCTACAAACTGGCAAGACAAGCTTGCTTTTTGTGAAATCTCCTGCGAAACCGTAACAGAGCTTGCGATGTACTTTGAGCGACTCGAAAGGCGCGAAGACAGAATGGCCGGGAGCGCCAGAATGGTCAAGGAAAGAATGGTGAAAGGGGTCAAGGTCGGCGTGACCAGCAACGCCCGTTCAACGACCGTAATAACCGCAGAGATCGTCGCAACCAGCGCGGACATCATGACTCACACGATAATCGTCCTCACAGACGGACTGTGACAGATAACAAAAAGCAAAACGACCGCCATGATGATACTGGTATGTGGTGTAAGTTCCACAAAACAAAGTCTCACAACTCCAGCGAGTGCTTCGCCCTGAAGAAGCAGCGCGAGTAGCACAAGCCAGCTGAGATGCAGACAACAGTTTCGAGCAAGAACAAGTATCCCAGATTTGAAGAGGAGTCAAGTGACAGTGACAGCGACAGCAACAGTGAGATGAAGCTCGTTGGTCTGGTCGCCAAGAAGCATACTAGCACCAAGCTCGCTCCGTTACGCATCAAGGTTCAGCTCAAGAACGCAAACATCAACTTTGAAGCGCTACTAGACAGTGGTGCATCAATGAGCATCATCAACCAGAAGAATCTGCAGGCTAATGTCCAGCTTGGACGTAAAAAAGTCGCATCGTCGACCAAGTTTCAGACGGAAAATGGTGAGGTGACAAGTGATGGCAGCGCAGTCATTCAGTTTCGATTTGCATCCCTCAAGCCTTCAGCCATCATCACTCACAGGTTCGAAATTCTGGAGAAGAGCCAAGATGCTATTCGATTAATCGGGACATCATTACGTCATTGGGCATTGTGCTCAATTTCAAAGAAAATGTTGTTCAGTGGGATGGCCACTACGCGCACCTTAATACCGGTGTGTCACGCTCTTTCGAGGTGAGCGATTACGAAAGTCTCGAAGAAAGCAAAGAAATTGCTGAAAGTGCAGTCCGACCAGAAGAACTCATGCCCGACACACTACCCAACTCTCTCGTCGACGAATATCATCAGCTTCTTCGTGATAACAAGAGCTTGTACGATGGTCACTTGGGAAGGATGAGGTTCGAAGATTACTTCTTGCCTATCTCACCTGACTACAAGCCCGTTCACGCTAAGCCATATCCTGTCCCACGTAGCCTCGAAGGAAAGGCGCGAGAGCTAATTCAACATCTGATTAGCACTGACGTGCTGGAGAAGATCTACGATTCGGAAATGGCATCGCCAGCCTTTTTTCTGGAGAAACCCAACGGTTCCCTGCGTTTACTGATCGACTTTCGTGAGCTCAACCGATTTTTGCAGCGCAGCCCATACTACGTCCCACGTATTCGAGAGATTTTATTACGTCTCGCGGGAGCGAAGTGTCTTTCTACGCTGGATGCAACATGGGGTACTACGAGCGTCGTCTCGCTACGTTAAGCCGTAATTACACTGCCTTCTGCTTACCTTTCGGGAAGTTCCAGTACAAGCGGCTCCCAATGGGAATTTCTACGGCGCCGGACGAATATCAAGCGTGCATGGAAAAGACATTTGGTGACCTGGATTTTGTCGTCGTTTATCTGGACGATATTCTCGTTTATTCTAGTAGCGAGAAGACTCACCTCAAGCACCTGGGTATCGTGTTTAAGCGTCTGAAGAAGTATGATGTTACGCTTAACGGCAAGAAGTGCCACATTTTACGCGAGTCTGTTGACTATCTTGGCTTTACTCTTACATCCGAGGGGATTCAGCCCCAGCAGACGAAGATTCAAGAAATCTAACAGATCGCCGTACCCAAGACCAGAAAGGAGCTACGCCGCTTCCTCGGGATGATTAATTACTACAGGGACATGGTACCGCACAAGACGACATCATGCCAGCCACTTAACCGCTTCACCAGCGCTAAAATCCCTTTGGAATGGATACCCAGTGACACGAAAGCGTTTCACGCTGTTCAGAAAGCGTTTGCGCAAGCGGTCCTGCTCGCGTTTTCCGATTTCGAGCAGCCATTTCACGTTTATGCCGACGCCAGAGGTAAGCAGATCGGCGGCATCATAATGCAAAGAAATTAGACACTTGCATGCTACTCGCGAAGTCTGAACAAGCACCAAGTGAGTTACACTATTATGGAACTCGAGCTTTTTTTCGCTCGTGGAAATTTTGCGCGAATACCGCACCATGTTGCTCGGTTTTCCTGTGGTCGTTCACACCGACCACAAGAACCTCATATATCCTACCGAAAATAGCCTGCGAGTCAAGCGCTGGAAGCTTCTCCTTTCGGAGTACCGCCTCTCGATGCACTACATCAAGGGGGCCAAAAATGTTGGTGCTGACGCTTTTTCGCGGATGCGATTTGACAACTTAGAGACAAAGTCTAAGTTGCAGCTTGCGGAGGAGGTTTGTAGGACGACGGATGAGCCAGACTGTGTCATGCATGGTCCTGTCCTACGAGAGCACCAAGAGAAAGACGCCATGATCCAGAAGATCAAGACTTCCTGCCTTAAAGGCAACAACAACCCCGACTACCAGCTCCTACCGGTACTCGGCTGCACACTGGTTGCGTACCAAAAGCGCGTCATTGTGCCCGACAGCCTGCGCGATGACCTAATTAATTGGTACCATTTGAGTCTCAGCCACCCGGGAAGTGAACGCCAGTACAAGACGATGAGACAGGTGCTTTACTGGCCCGGCATGGAAGCCGATATAAACAAGGAGACGAAGAATTGTCTCGTTTGCAAGAAGGCCAGGGTACATGGAGGCAAGCAAGACTACGGATTATTGCCACCTCGGACACTCAAGACAGTGAACCCTTTCGACTCGGTTCACGCTGATTTAATTGGTTCCTACGAGGATGGATATTATGGCATCACTATGGTCGATCACGCCACGCGTTGGCTGGAAGTGGGTATCCAGCCTGATAAAGTTCTCTGACCACAGCCGAGAGCTTCGATCGTGAATGGCTTTGCAGATACCCGCGTCCAGTAAAAGTCATCCATGACCAAGGGACGGAGTTTACGGGTGAAGAGTTTCAGGAGATGCTGCGCAGCTACGGAATTCAGTCCAAGCCCATCACAAGCAAGAACCCACAAGCAAATGCGATATGTGAGCGCGTGCATTTGGAGATTTTGAATGTCATCCGTTGCTACGATGGAATTGACTGGAAGAAGACCATAGACTACGCTGCGTTCGCCGTGAGAGCCAGCTACCACAGCATTCTCAATGCTTCGCCAGGTCAGCTTCTCTTCGGACAAGACATGATCACTCGCCAGCTTTATAATGCTAACTGGAGCTACCTATCCAAGCGCCGTTTCGATGCAATCCTTGCTGACAACGACCGCAAAAACAGCAAACGCCTTGAGCATTTGTACAATGCAGGCGATCACGTGATGCTGCGGATTCCCAAGCAATTTCGTGCGAAGCTTCACGCCGTGGCACACGGACCGTTTCTATTACGTGCAGTTCATGACAACGGAACTGTCACTATAGACAAGGGCAAAGCGATCGAGCGTGTGAGCATCCGCCGCATTTTTCCATGCTGATTCTCACAGATCATGGGGGAGTATGACACAGGTGGTATCGTGAATGACCTGCGAGAACACAAGATGATGACCAAGATAATGATCAAGATGATGACCAAGATGATGACCAAGACGATGACCAAGACGATACCCAAGATGATTGCGCAAGTACTTTCATTAGTTGGGTTAGTCTAGCCTACCCTATAACCCTCCAACAAATACACATTCTCAATTTTACCTTTGACTCCGCAAACCCCCTCGAGCAAGGCTTGCGGACTGATTACTCCTCTGCAAGCCACGTGTGTGTCGTTTTGATGTATCAAATTTGGCAAATCAAGATCGAGAATCCCGTCGCCTTCAACATGGGACGGAACAATGAAGATGAGTACGTCACGTACACGATCGTGACGTGCCAAGAAAGCACGACCGCACCAGGTGACTTTGCCAAGCTGAAGATTAAACGCTTTCGCGGAGGGTCCGCGAAGGACTGGCTCAAATGGAGCATGAAGTTTAAGAGCCTCGCAATAAGAAAAGGCTGGGGTGCTGACCAACTCACCGTTCAACTGCTCACGCTGATCGACGGAGATCTGTCGCGTGAGGTCGAGCGCATCGCCAGCGAATCTTCCGAGAAAGGACATACGTTCGAAGGCTTCTACCGTGAGATCGGCTTACTCCTGGTACCTGCGGATTACAGTGAAGACCTAGATGAGGAGCTATGGACCCTGACCAAGCGCCGCGACGAAACAGTTCAACGCTGCTCGGCACGTCTGCGAGAGCTTGCTCAAATGTACACCAAGTTGCCGCAGGATGCGCAAACACTTTCGGAGAATCAACTCTGTCGATACTTTCGCCGAGCTATGCCTACAAACTGGCAAGACAAGCTTGCTTTTGTGAAATCTCCTGCGAAACCGTAACAGAGCTTGCGATGTACTTTGAGCGACTCGAAAGGCGCGAAAGACAGAATGGCCGGGAGCGCCAGAATGGTCAAGGAAAGAATGGTGAAAGGGGTCAAGGTCGGCGTGACCAGCAACGCCCGTTCAACGACCGTAATAACCGCAGAGATCGTCGCAACCAGCGCGGACATCATGACTCACACGAGAATCGTCCTCACAGACGGACTGTGACAGATAACAAAAAGCAAAACGACCGCCATGATGATACTGGTATGTGGTGTAAGTTCCACAAAACAAAGTCTCACAACTCCAGCGAGTGCTTCGCCCTGAAGAAGCAGCGCGAGTAGCACAAGCCAGCTGAGATGCAGACAACAGTTTCGAGCAAGAACAAGTATCCCAGATTTGAAGAGGAGTCAAGTGACAGTGACAGCGACAGCAACAGTGAGATGAAGCTCGTTGGTCTGGTCGCCAAGAAGCATACTAGCACCAAGCTCGCTCCGTTACGCATCAAGGTTCAGCTCAAGAACGCAAACATCAACTTTGAAGCGCTACTAGACAGTGGTGCATCAATGAGCATCATCAACCAGAAGAATCTGCAGGCTAATGTCCAGCTTGGACGTAAAAAAGTCGCATCGTCGACCAAGTTTCAGACGGAAAATGGTGAGGTGACAAGTGACGGCAGCGCAGTCATTCAGTTTCGATTTGCATCCCTCAAGCCTTCAGCCATCATCACTCACAGGTTCGAAATTCTGGAGAAGAGCCAAGATGCTATTCGATTAATCGGGACATCATTACGTCATTGGGCATTGTGCTCAATTTCAAAGAAAATGTTGTTCAGTGGGATGGCCACTACGCGCACCTTAATACCGGTGTGTCACGCTCTTTCGAGGTGAGCGATTACGAAAGTCTCGAAGAAAGCAAAGAAATTGCTGAAAGTGCAGTCCGACCAGAAGAACTCATGCCCGACACACTACCCAACTCTCTCGTCGACGAATATCATCAGCTTCTTCGTGATAACATAGAGCTTGTACGAAGGTCACTTGGGAAGACTGAGGAAGGATGGGTTCGAAGATTACTTCTTGCCTATCTCACCTGACTACAAGCCCGTTCACGCCAAGCCATATCCTGTCCCACGTAGCCTCGAAGGAAAGGCGCGAGAGCTAATTCAACATCTGATTAGCACTGACGTGCTGGAGAAGATCTACGATTCGGAAATGGCATCGCCAGCCTTTTTTCTGGAAAACCCCAGCGTTCCCCCGTTTTTGGATCGACTTTCGTGGGCCCCCCCCCCTTTTTTGCCCCCGCCCCCCCCCCCCCCCCCCCCACGTATTCGTGACCTTTTTTGGGTCCCGGGGGGCGGAGTGTCTTTCTTCGCTCGGGGGGACGAGGGGGGGCTCCTCGCGCCGCCTCGCTCCGTTAATCCCCATTTTCCTTTCCTTTTTTTTGATTTTTGGGAGAGCGGGTGCGGGCGGCGGGGCCTTGGGAGGGGGGTGGGCGGGGGCGGGGGGGGGGGGGAAACCCAACGGTTCCCTTCGTTTTCTGATTCGCTTTTGTGGGCCCCCCCCATTTTTTGGCGCCCCCCCCCTCCCCCCCCCCCTCTTTGGGATTTGTTTTTCCCGCGCCCGGGGGGGGGGGTGTGTTTTTCTGCGCGGGGTGGGAGGGGGGGGTGCGGGGGCGGGCGGCGCGCTTTGGTTAGGCCGTATTTACATTCCTGCTTTTCGGTTTGTGGGAGGACAGGCGGCAGCCGGCGCCTGCGGGGGGGATGCGGGGGGGGGCGGGAGGAAGGAGGGGGGGGGGGGAAAAGACATTTGGTGACCTGGATTTTGTCGTCGTTTATCTGGACGATATTCTCGTTTATTCTAGTAGCGAGAAGACTCACCTCAAGCACCTGGGTATCGTGTTTAAGCGTCTGAAGAAGTATGATGTTACGCTTAACGGCAAGAAGTGCCACATTTTACGCGAGTCTGTTGACTATCTTGGCTTTACTCTTACATCCGAGGGGATTCAGCCCCAGCAGACGAAGATTCAAGAAATCCAACAGATCGCCGTACCCAAGACCAGAAAGGAGCTACGCCGCTTCCTCGGGATGATTAATTACTACAGGGACATGGTACCGCACAAGACGACATCATGCCAGCCACTTAACCGCTTCACCAGCGCTAAAATCCCTTTGGAATGGATACCCAGTGACACGAAAGCGTTTCACGCTGTTCAGAAAGCGTTTGCGCAAGCGGTCCTGCTCGCGTTTTCCGATTTCGAGCAGCCATTTCACGTTTATGCCGACGCCAGAGGTAAGCAGATCGGCGGCATCATAATGCAAAGAAATTAGACACTTGCATGCTACTCGCGAAGTCTGAACAAGCACCAAGTGAGTTACACTATTATGGAACTCGAGCTTTTTTCGCTCGTGGAAATTTTGCGCGAATACCGCACCATGTTGCTCGGTTTTCCTGTGGTCGTTCACACCGACCACAAGAACCTCATATATCCTACCGAAAATAGCCTGCGAGTCAAGCGCTGGAAGCTTCTCCTTTCGGAGTACCGCCTCTCGATGCACTACATCAAGGGGGCCAAAAATGTTGGTGCTGACGCTTTTTCGCGGATGCGATTTGACAACTTAGAGACAAAGTCTAAGTTGCAGCTTGCGGAGGAGGTTTGTAGGACGACGGATGAGCCAGACTGTGTCATGCATGGTCCTGTCCTACGAGAGCACCAAGAGAAAGACGCCATGATCCAGAAGATCAAGACTTCCTGCCTTAAAGGCAACAACAACCCCGACTACCAGCTCCTACCGGTACTCGGCTGCACACTGGTTGCGTACCAAAAAGCGCGTCATTGTGCCCGACAGCCTGCGCGATGACCTAATTAATTGGTACCATTTGAGTCTCAGCCACCCGGGAAGTGAACGCCAGTACAAGACGATGAGACAGGTGCTTTACTGGCCCGGCATGGAAGCCGATATAAACAAGGAGACGAAGAATTGTCTCGTTTGCAAGAAGGCCAGGGTACATGGAGGCAAGCAAGACTACGGATTATTGCCACCTCGGACACTCAAGACAGTGAACCCTTTCGACTCGGTTCACGCTGATTTAATTGGTTCCTACGAGGATGGATATTATGGCATCACTATGGTCGATCACGCCACGCGTTGGCTGGAAGTGGGTATCCAGCCTGATAAAGTTCTCTGACCACAGCCGAGAGCTTCGATCGTGAATGGCTTTGCAGATACCCGCGTCCAGTAAAAGTCATCCATGACCAAGGGACGGAGTTTACGGGTGAAGAGTTTCAGGAGATGCTGCGCAGCTACGGAATTCAGTCCAAGCCCATCACAAGCAAGAACCCACAAGCAAATGCGATATGTGAGCGCGTGCATTTGGAGATTTTGAATGTCATCCGTTGCTACGATGGAATTGACTGGAAGAAGACCATAGACTACGCTGCGTTCGCCGTGAGAGCCAGCTACCACAGCATTCTCAATGCTTCGCCAGGTCAGCTTCTCTTCGGACAAGACATGATCACTCGCCAGCTTTATAATGCTAACTGGAGCTACCTATCCAAGCGCCGTTTCGATGCAATCCTTGCTGACAACGACCGCAAAAACAGCAAACGCCTTGAGCATTTGTACAATGCAGGCGATCACGTGATGCTGCGGATTCCCAAGCAATTTCGTGCGAAGCTTCACGCCGTGGCACACGGACCGTTTCTATTACGTGCAGTTCATGACAACGGAACTGTCACTATAGACAAGGGCAAAGCGATCGAGCGTGTGAGCATCCGCCGCATTTTTCCATGCTGATTCTCACAGATCATGGGGGAGTATGACACAGGTGGTATCGTGAATGACCTGCGAGAACACAAGATGATGACCAAGATAATGATCAAGATGATGACCAAGATGATGACCAAGACGATGACCAAGACGATACCCAAGATGATTGCGCAAGTACTTTCATTAGTTGGGTTAGTCTAGCCTACCCTATAACCCTCCAACAAATACACATTCTCAATTTTACCTTTGACTCCGCAAACCCCCTCGAGCAAGGCTTGCGGACTGATTACTCCTCTGCAAGCCACGTGTGTGTCGTTTTGATGTATCAAATTTGGCAAATCAAGATCGAGAATCCCGTCGCCTTCAACATGGGACGGAACAATGAAGATGAGTACGTCACGTACACGATCGTGACGTGCCAAGAAAGCACGACCGCACCAGGTGACTTTGCCAAGCTGAAGATTAAACGCTTTCGCGGAGGGTCCGCGAAGGACTGGCTCAAATGGAGCATGAAGTTTAAGAGCCTCGCAATAAGAAAAGGCTGGGGTGCTGACCAACTCACCGTTCAACTGCTCACGCTGATCGACGGAGATCTGTCGCGTGAGGTCGAGCGCATCGCCAGCGAATCTTCCGAGAAAGGACATACGTTCGAAGGCTTCTACCGTGAGATCGGCTTACTCCTGGTACCTGCGGATTACAGTGAAGACCTAGATGAGGAGCTATGGACCCTGACCAAGCGCCGCGACGAAACAGTTCAACGCTGCTCGGCACGTCTGCGAGAGCTTGCTCAAATGTACACCAAGTTGCCGCAGGATGCGCAAACACTTTCGGAGAATCAACTCTGTCGATACTTTCGCCGAGCTATGCCTACAAACTGGCAAGACAAGCTTGCTTTTTGTGAAATCTCCTGCGAAACCGTAACAGAGCTTGCGATGTACTTTGAGCGACTCGAAAGGCGCGAAAGACAGAATGGCCGGGAGCGCCAGAATGGTCAAGGAAAGAATGGTGAAAGGGGTCAAGGTCGGCGTGACCAGCAACGCCCGTTCAACGACCGTAATAACCGCAGAGATCGTCGCAACCAGCGCGGACATCATGACTCACACGAGAATCGTCCTCACAGACGGACTGTGACAGATAACAAAAAGCAAAACGACCGCCATGATGATACTGGTATGTGGTGTAAGTTCCACAAAACAAAGTCTCACAACTCCAGCGAGTGCTTCGCCCTGAAGAAGCAGCGCGAGTAGCACAAGCCAGCTGAGATGCAGACAACAGTTTCGAGCAAGAACAAGTATCCCAGATTTGAAGAGGAGTCAAGTGACAGTGACAGCGACAGCAACAGTGAGATGAAGCTCGTTGGTCTGGTCGCCAAGAAGCATACTAGCACCAAGCTCGCTCCGTTACGCATCAAGGTTCAGCTCAAGAACGCAAACATCAACTTTGAAGCGCTACTAGACAGTGGTGCATCAATGAGCATCATCAACCAGAAGAATCTGCAGGCTAATGTCCAGCTTGGACGTAAAAAAGTCGCATCGTCGACCAAGTTTCAGACGGAAAATGGTGAGGTGACAAGTGACGGCAGCGCAGTCATTCAGTTTCGATTTGCATCCCTCAAGCCTTCAGCCATCATCACTCACAGGTTCGAAATTCTGGAGAAGAGCCAAGATGCTATTCGATTAATCGGGACATCATTACGTCATTGGGCATTGTGCTCAATTTCAAAGAAAATGTTGTTCAGTGGGATGGCCACTACGCGCACCTTAATACCGGTGTGTCACGCTCTTTCGAGGTGAGCGATTACGAAAGTCTCGAAGAAAGCAAAGAAATTGCTGAAAGTGCAGTCCGACCAGAAGAACTCATGCCCGACACACTACCCAACTCTCTCGTCGACGAATATCATCAGCTTCTTCGTGATAACAAGAGCTTGTACGATGGTCACTTGGGAAGGATGAGGTTCGAAGATTACTTCTTGCCTATCTCACCTGACTACAAGCCCGTTCACGCCAAGCCATATCCTGTCCCACGTAGCCTCGAAGGAAAGGCGCGAGAGCTAATTCAACATCTGATTAGCACTGACGTGCTGGAGAAGATCTACGATTCGGAAATGGCATCGCCAGCCTTTTTTCTGGAGAAACCCAACGGTTCCCTGCGTTTACTGATCGACTTTCGTGAGCTCAACCGATTTTTGCAGCGCAGCCCATACTACGTCCCACGTATTCGAGAGATTTTATTACGTCTCGCGGGAGCGAAGTGTCTTTCTACGCTGGATGCAACATGGGGTACTACGAGCGTCGTCTCGCTACGTTAAGCCGTAATTACACTGCCTTCTGCTTACCTTTCGGGAAGTTCCAGTACAAGCGGCTCCCAATGGGAATTTCTACGGCGCCGGACGAATATCAAGCGTGCATGGAAAAGACATTTGGTGACCTGGATTTTGTCGTCGTTTATCTGGACGATATTCTCGTTTATTCTAGTAGCGAGAAGACTCACCTCAAGCACCTGGGTATCGTGTTTAAGCGTCTGAAGAAGTATGATGTTACGCTTAACGGCAAGAAGTGCCACATTTTACGCGAGTCTGTTGACTATCTTGGCTTTACTCTTACATCCGAGGGGATTCAGCCCCAGCAGACGAAGATTCAAGAAATCCAACAGATCGCCGTACCCAAGACCAGAAAGGAGCTACGCCGCTTCCTCGGGATGATTAATTACTACAGGGACATGGTACCGCACAAGACGACATCATGCCAGCCACTTAACCGCTTCACCAGCGCTAAAATCCCTTTGGAATGGATACCCAGTGACACGAAAGCGTTTCACGCTGTTCAGAAAGCGTTTGCGCAAGCGGTCCTGCTCGCGTTTTCCGATTTCGAGCAGCCATTTCACGTTTATGCCGACGCCAGAGGTAAGCAGATCGGCGGCATCATAATGCAAAGAAATTAGACACTTGCATGCTACTCGCGAAGTCTGAACAAGCACCAAGTGAATTACACTATTATGGAACTCGAGCTTTTTTCGCTCGTGGAAATTTTGCGCGAATACCGCACCATGTTGCTCGGTTTTCCTGTGGTCGTTCACACCGACCACAAGAACCTCATATATCCTACCGAAAATAGCCTGCGAGTCAAGCGCTGGAAGCTTCTCCTTTCGGAGTATCGCCTCTCGATGCACTACATCAAGGGGGCCAAAAATGTTGGTGCTGACGCTTTTTCGCGGATGCGATTTGACAACTTAGAGACAAAGTCTAAGTTGCAGCTTGCGGAGGAGGTTTGTAGGACGACGGATGAGCCAGACTGTGTCATGCATGGTCCTGTCCTACGAGAGCACCAAGAGAAAGACGCCATGATCCAGAAGATCAAGACTTCCTGCCTTAAAGGCAACAACAACCCCGACTACCAGCTCCTACCGGTACTCGGCTGCACACTGGTTGCGTACCAAAAGCGCGTCATTGTGCCCGACAGCCTGCGCGATGACCTAATTAATTGGTACCATTTGAGTCTCAGCCACCCGGGAAGTGAACGCCAGTACAAGACGATGAGACAGGTGCTTTACTGGCCCGGCATGGAAGCCGATATAAACAAGGAGACGAAGAATTGTCTCGTTTGCAAGAAGGCCAGGGTACATGGAGGCAAGCAAGACTACGGATTATTGCCACCTCGGACACTCAAGACAGTGAACCCTTTCGACTCGGTTCACGCTGATTTAATTGGTTCCTACGAGGATGGATATTATGGCATCACTATGGTCGATCACGCCACGCGTTGGCTGGAAGTGGGTATCCAGCCTGATAAAGTTCTCTGACCACAGCCGAGAGCTTCGATCGTGAATGGCTTTGCAGATACCCGCGTCCAGTAAAAGTCATCCATGACCAAGGGACGGAGTTTACGGGTGAAGAGTTTCAGGAGATGCTGCGCAGCTACGGAATTCAGTCCAAGCCCATCACAAGCAAGAAACCCACAAGCAAATGCGATATGTGAGCGCGTGCATTTGGAGATTTTGAATGTCATCCGTTGCTACGATGGAATTGACTGGAAGAAGACCATAGACTACGCTGCGTTCGCCGTGAGAGCCAGCTACCACAGCATTCTCAATGCTTCGCCAGGTCAGCTTCTCTTCGGACAAGACATGATCACTCGCCAGCTTTATAATGCTAACTGGAGCTACCTATCCAAGCGCCGTTTCGATGCAATCCTTGCTGACAACGACCGCAAAAACAGCAAACGCCTTGAGCATTTGTACAATGCAGGCGATCACGTGATGCTGCGGATTCCCAAGCAATTTCGTGCGAAGCTTCACGCCGTGGCACACGGACCGTTTCTATTACGTGCAGTTCATGACAACGGAACTGTCACTATAGACAAGGGCAAAGCGATCGAGCGTGTGAGCATCCGCCGCATTTTTCCATGCTGATTCTCACAGATCATGGGGGGAGTATGACACAGGTGGTATCGTGAATGACCTGTGAGAACACAAGATGATGACCAAGATGATGATCAAGATGATGACCAAGATGATGACCAAGACGATGACCAAGACGATACCCAAGATGATTGCGCAAGTACTTTCATTATTTGGGTTAGTCTAGCCTACCCTATAACCCTCCAACAAATACACATTCTCAATTTTACCTTTGACTCCGCAAGCCTTGCTCTGCAAGCCACCCGTGGCTTGCAGAGGGGTGATCAGTCCGCAAGCCTTGCTCGATGGGTTTTGCGGAGTTAAATGTAAAATTGAGAATGTGTATCTGTTGGAGGGTTATATGGTAGGCTAGACTAACCCAACTAATGAAAGTACTTGCGCAATCATCTTGGGTATCGTCTTGGTCATCGTCTTGGTCATCATCTTGGTCATCATCTTGATCATTATCTTGGTCATCATCTTGTGTTCTCACAGGTCATTCACGATACCACCTGTGTCATACTCCCCCATGATCTGTGAGAATCAGCATGGAAAAATGCGGCGGATGCTCACACGCTCGATCGCTTTGCCCTTGTCTATAGTGACAGTTCCGTTGTCATGAACTGCACGTAATAGAAACGGTCCGTGTGCCACGGCGTGAAGCTTCGCACGAAATTGCTTGGGAATCCGCAGCATCACGTGATCGCCTGCATTGTACAAATGCTCAAGGCGTTTGCTGTTTTTGCGGTCGTTGTCAGCAAGGATTGCATCGAAACGGCGCTTGGATAGGTAGCTCCAGTTAGCATTATAAAGCTGGCGAGTGATCATGTCTTGTCCGAAGAGAAGCTGACCTGGCGAAGCATTGAGAATGCTGTGGTAGCTGGCTCTCACGGCGAACGCAGCGTAGTCTATGGTCTTCTTCCAGTCAATTCCATCGTAGCAACGGATGACATTCAAAATCTCCAAATGCACGCGCCCACATATCGCATTTGCTTGTGGGTTCTTGCTTGTGATGGGCTTGGACTGAATTCCGTAGCTGCGCAGCATCTCCTGAAACTCTTCACCCGTAAACTCCGTCCCTTGGTCATGGATGACTTTTACTGGACGCGGGTATCTGCAAAGCCATTCACGATCGAAGCTCTCGGCTGTGGTCAGAGAACTTTATCAGGCTGGATACCCACTTCCAGCCAACGCGTGGCGTGATCGACCATAGTGATGCCATAATATCCATCCTCGTAGGAACCAATTAAATCAGCGTGAACCGAGTCGAAAGGGTTCACTGTCTTGAGTGTCCGAGGTGGCAATAATCCGTAGTCTTGCTTGCCTCCATGTACCCTGGCCTTCTTGCAAACGAGACAATTCTTCGTCTCCTTGTTTATATCGGCTTCCATGCCGGGCCAGTAAAGCACCTGTCTCATCGTCTTGTACTGGCGTTCACTTCCCGGGTGGCTGAGACTCAAATGGTACCAATTAATTAGGTCATCGCGCAGGCTGTCGGGCACAATGACGCGCTTTTGGTACGCAACCAGTGTGCAGCCGAGTACCGGTAGGAGCTGGTAGTCGGGGTTGTTGTTGCCTTTAAGGCAGGAAGTCTTGATCTTCTGGATCATGGCGTCTTTCTCTTGGTGCTCTCCTAGGACAGGACCATGCATGACACAGTCTGGCTCATCCGTCGTCGAACAAACCTCATCCGCAAGCTGCAACTTAGACTTTGTCTCTAAGTTGTCAAATAGCATCCGCAAAGAAGCGTCAGCACCAACACAATTAGGACTGTCACCAAGATAACCTTGGGTGCAATACATGCTGTTGCCACGGCACTGATCGTCGTGGAGTTCAAAGGATCAACTTTCCGCGCGGAGAGATAAACGGAGACTTCCTTCGATTCTTCGGGGTTTTGCTTGCCGTTTTCTACAGCCACAATAAACAGATAAAAACACAAAAACACAATTTTAAAAATTAACAGTACGGTCACTACTTTTATCGTTACTCACTGTATCCCTTTTAATTGTGACGGTAAATGGACACTTGAGAATGCTTGTTGGGCTGTGAAGCTTCCGCGAACCCCCTGCGGTGTATTCCCGTCGGATCTTGTACTGTGTAGCATGAGAACAAGCCAGCCAAACTATCCTGGCCTCACCTGCGCGGCACTTCTTCGAGTTACTTCTTGATAAGGTGTACCTTTCATTTATCGCATGGGAAAGCACCATCGTCTACGCGATCGTCAGCTATGCTTAGACATGCTCTGCTGACGGTGCATATACTTTCCTTTTTTTCAATCGATGTTTATAGCGCAACATGCTGGTCAGATCCTTCTCCTGATCAAAGATCGCAGTGCTGTTGTTTAGTAGCTTTGTCTTTTATGCATTTACGTTACAATTTTTCACAAATACTTTATTTACACAATTTTGTTGCATGTGTATGTGTCAAAGGGTGGGTGTGTACCTATAAATATTCAAGTGAATGTGTGCTTCAATGAGCCGCTAAACACGAATTCGGGCTCCTTAGCTCTTTTTGAGGCCTGCAAATGACTCGTGGAAGTTCACACCTCTAGAGTCTGATCCCCCTGCTATAAACGATACAAACTCGTTCCACGGGTCACATCAAAATGGGCAAGTTGAGCTGAACACTACCTACCATTTGTACGACGAATGCCGATTGTTGTGCGATAGCGGTCGTACAGAGATAAGCTGGCGCGATATTTGTTGTACAAACCCTTTTGTAATGTGGCATGGGTGTGATGGATGGGGTGTATTTAGTAAACCGTTGGGTGTATTTAGCAATACCCTACTACATTTTTTTTTTTTATTTTTTTTTTTTTTTATGGCCCAGACTGGATTCCAGCGGTCTAAATATTGACGTTGCTTCAAACTATAGCAGCTTTTTTACAAAGACCATAAATTTGTAAACACGTCAGTATGAGCAAGTATTTTTCGTGTGCTGGTACACCACGAAGTGCGACTTCGGTCGAATAGTTTGACAAGTGGGTGGTCGCCACTGCTCAAGCGATCGATTGAGTGCTACCACGTCGACTGTCGCAATCATGGCGCCCCTAGTAAAGTCATCAGAGACAAGGAGCAACAAGAGCTACAGCACGAGCGGATACAACGCTAAGAAACGCCCAGCCGCCAATGGCGACGACGGCAAGAAGTCGTTCATGGACCAGAAACTAGCCAAGAAACAGCGCAAGATGCAGCGGCCGCACTACGAGATGGTGACGCGCGCTAAGGAGATCTGGAACGTCATCCGTGAGAATAAAGTGGACAAGAACAAGCGCGCTACGCTCGTGGACGAGCTGTTTCTGCTGGTCAAGGGCAAGATCCACGACGTGGCGGCCAAACACGACGCGTCACGCGTCATCCAGTCGCTCATGCAGTACGGAAGGCCCGAGCACCGCTCCCAGATTGTGCTGGAGATGAAGGATCATCTCATTGAGGCGGCTAAAATGCAGTACGGCTGCTTTTTGGTGCAGAAGATGATCTGCTATGGCAGTGCGGCAGACCGTGCCGTCATCGTCAAGTGCCTTACGGGCCACGTGGTGCAGGTCGGTACTCACAACATTGCTGCCAACGTGCTCGAGTATGCACAGGAGTTTCTGAAGCCCTCTCAGCTCACAGCGCTCAGGTTGGAGTTCTATGGTCGTGAGTTTGCCTACTTCCGCTCAGAGAGCAAGCACAATCTGGCCGATATTATTGCCGCGCATCCGGAAAAGAAGGCAGATGTGCTCCAACATCTCAGCAGTATCTTGAACCGCATGGTCGACAAGCAGCTCCTCGGTTTGGCCTTTGTGCAGTCCCTGTTGTGGGAGTACTTGTGCAACGCTGAGTACGATTACGTGATGCTAATGGTTGGCAACGTTCGCGACGCTGCATTGGCACTGCTTGCTACGCGAAATGGTGCTCGCGTGGTCAACATGTGTATCTCACTCGGTACGGCGAAGGACCGTAAGCGTATTATCAAGACCCTGAAGGACAAGGTTCTGGATGCATGCAACCACCCAAGTGGCTATCTCGTGATCATGCGCATCTTGGATGTGGTGGATGACTCTGTTCTTGTACAGAAGTCCATTTTGGCGGAGATGAACGATGCGCTCTTTTCGATCGCAATGCACCCTGGCGGACGAAAGGTTCTGTTACAGCTCCTGAGTCCTCTAAATACGAAGTATCTGTCGCTAGATGACCTAACGCTGCTCGAGCCTCCCATGTTGCGATCACCGGAGGACTCGACGGTCATGATTGTCAATTACAAGAAAGACCCAGATGCTCGTCGGAGAGAGCTGCTAAAGGGTCTGCTACCCAAGCTTGAGGAAATGTGCATCGCAAATGTGGCTGACCTGATGCGCTCGAAGGAAGGCCGCGACGTGATTGTCGAGGTCGCCAAGCACAGTGAGAGCACCGAGCTGGCAGATAGTGTGATTGCCGCCGTTCTTGCAGAGGAAGCAGAGCCTCTTTACACCGATGCCAATGGCCACTTTGCTCTGCGTCGCTTGATCATGGAAACCCGTATGACAGAGCCTCTACTCACGGCCGTCGCCAAACAGTTGTCAAACTGGGCGACAAGCAATCGTGGCTCCTTCGTGGTCCTTGCGTTCTTGGAGGCTGAACGCGCCCCCAAAAACGTGACCGACGTGGTGAAGAAAGCACTCGAGCCTGCGATGAGTGAGCTGAAGAAGCTTGCTGACACGCAGAAGGGTACCGAATTACTTCTTGAAAAACTAGGATAGGGAGGAGGTGTAGTGATCGAACAGCTTTGTTTGGTCACGTCATAATAATATCAGACGCTTTTGTTTGTTGCTCGTACATCGCTTCGATCGTCGGATGCATGAAATCTCGGTCCTATTGACCACCACCGACGTGTGTCATGCCGACTTTTTCGAGTTTCAATACCTTCGACTGAGAGTGGGGAACGGCTGAGAGGTTGCAAAGTGTTTCACCGAGCTGTAATGATAGTGTCAAAGTGTATCCGTGCAAGTGCCATTTGCGAAGATATCATGACAGGCTCACTCCCATTCACCTTATCGATGAGCTCAGCGTCACACTGCAGTGCACATTTATCAGAAGGTCAGCACCACCGCGGACATTTTGTGCTGTATAGCTGTTATGGCCAAAGCCGGCAATGCCACCCACATTGTCGCGGTTGTGCTAGACACGTGTACATGGATCATAGCGTCTCGTAAGTGCACCGTGCAAGGCGAACACACTTGTAGGCCGGACTGGCAAGGGGTAGTCCTCCTGAGACATACAACCTTAATGACGTAAGGCCAAGTACTCATTGACCACATGGTCGACCAAACGGGTATGATTTAGTAAGCTACGAAAGCTTGAATACCGGATGCCACCGCATTTCATGCTTGTCAATCAAAGCACCTAGCTCGACAAGCCTTTCCGCTGCAATCTTGCTTCCAGTACTGCTTTTGAGTGATGCTCTACCAGCCCTGGACATCTAACACGACGTTACACTTAGCAAGATGATGACAATCTTCAAGTTGCTAGCGACTTGCCCCGTGTGGCGAGTGCAGTCTCCAGATGCATCATAAACATTGCTAGGTGCTGTGTGAAAGTCTCTGCACTAATTCTTGCGATTGAACACGTTGCGTTGACATCGACACTATTGCCACTGTCTGAGATACCGCATTATCGGCGCAAGCAGGGATCATCGTTATTACCCGTCACGTTCTACCTCACAATTTGCGTGCCGCCACCGCGTAGGCACCGACTAGTTCCACCCCAAAATCAACACGGAGCAACTCGATGCGCTAATCCGGGTAACGATGACCAAGGAAGCACAACCTCACACGGTAAGATCGCAGCAGCATTGTACTTATTAATTCGCAACTAGTACTCCAGCCGTGGAGAGTGTGCATGGAGCTGGTTTTTGCAGCGAATTCATCGGCTCCGTCTCCCAAGGGCGCATACATTCTCGATCGTTACACAACCTTCGAACGTACTTGTTGAAGTGCAGTCCACTTCGCTCAGAATGACCGTTGCAATCACGTCCTTTGGGGGCAAAAGCTCGAACGCCTGCACGATTTTGCTGTGCCGTTGACCGAGCCAAAGAGGGCAAAGAGACTGCGAGAATTTCCACTTTCGGTTCGTTATTCGTGTCACATTTGGTGTTTCGACTGTCGTGCGAGCTGATTACTGTCGTCACATTGTGGAAGCGACGGTCCAGTCCTGCGTAACTATTTGGCCAATTACGTTGCTCATTTTGGATCCCACGACGTACGAAATGCATTCACTTGCCGGACCCTACTCCCGCCAAGATTCTCATCAAACGACTGCACACACACCGTGATACCAATGCTCGTGATCGAATCTAATAAAAAAGAAAGACTGTAAGGATCCACTATGCCCCAAAGTCTCACTCTCAATTTTGCACTCTCGAGCGCAGCCACCAAGCCCTCGATGGATGTCAAATGCCTTCTCAGCAGCGAGACAGCAGCACTCGCATGTCCGGCCTCGTCTACGACGTCCGTCCTCAGTGCGTCCAGCATGAGCTCGAACGAGGTGAAGCGCGGCTGGGTGGCCCCATTTCTGTTGCACTTGCATCAGATGCTACGACGTGAGGATTCCACGATCGTTCGCTGGGCTGAGAATGGCATGGCGTTCCAGATCTTGGACAAGGACGCCATGACGTCTTTGGTGCTGCCAAAGTACTTTAAGAACAAGAACTTTTCCAGTTTCCAGCGCCAGCTCAACTACTTTGGCTTCCGCAAGTGGAGCAAAGCTCGGGCACCGTTCCCCACCTACAGTCGCGAGCACTTCACACGGGACAATTACAATCAGATGTCACTGGTCAAGCGCCAGAGCAAAAAGTCTCGCAAGCGCAGAGTCGCTTCCAATCCCAAACCGTCTGCAACCAGCGGAGCTGTACTTCCGTCAACGAAAGCGATTGCCAGCGCCAAGGGGGGCCAGTCCATTCTATCGCACCTGGGTGTCGATCCCGAGACAGTCATCATACCAGTGCCCCAGCTTCAGCCTCGGGTCATGTCTCCTACGATCGCACCTGCATTCCTCTTCCCCGTGCTCTCCCCTACTCGCACGATGAACAGCAGCTCCAAACTGCCATCCATCCGTGAGCTGTCGCTGTCGAGTGCCATGTCGCTCGCAGGTATTGGCCAAACCCGGCCTCGCCTTTTGGCTTGAGCAGCCTTGTTGCTATTGTCGTCGTCGTCGTCCAGAACTACATCAACACTGTATCCAAGTCACCTTCAATAGCTTTATTTAACCAATCTCCTCACACTTTCATGCCTTCGCTCCCTCCCTCGGCCGCTCTCTACCAGACGTCAAGCCATCTGTTTGACTATCAACTGAATCGACTAAGGTCCACTCTGCTCATTCCGACTTGCCAGTCGAAATGACTAGGGCGCTGTCCCACAGCGTCCCATCCAGCAGATCCCATATTCAAAATTTCTTGCCATGTCTAACGACATAATTCTATTAATTATCTATTCTTATTACTCATACGGGTTTATAGATCACAATAAATGTAGGAGTTTTTTCAGAGGGAATCGTCAAATGCAAGCCCACAAAATCACGAAATGGACGCCGTGTGGAAACTATCAATAATCGCTGTCAATGCGCGCCCCTGAATAAAAAGTACTCGTTAGCGCTTGCATATCAGGCAATAGTCTTGTCGTCAATCACATGGTATGCGGGGTCATTGAACATAAGATGTAGTAGCGTTCATCCATTTCGTCTTATGCTGGAAGCTACTGGTCAAAAGAAAAGGTGATCGATGCCATCAAGAAAAGCCGGCTAACGACGAAAAAGGAGGCGGGAAGAATGGAAATTCTTCAATTTACTCCCTTTTAGCTTGGTTAGTCAAACCAAGCTAAAAGGGAGTAAATTGAAGAATTTCCATGACTCCCTTATCTTTCGTTAAGTAAGCACTCGATTTACTAACTGTGATTAGCCGATATTATATGTAAACATGGGGAGTTGATCAATTCACATTCCCATTCTGTAAATTCACCCCCTTCCTTTTACAGCCAATTATTAAACCCTCGTTCATAATAGTTTTTCTATAGATTTTATCTATTTCCATGGCCTATTATGCAGTACGCAGATAATCTTAGAGATAGGTCGTGACTTTTCCTTGTAATCACACACTTCCTGCCAAACCTGATATCCACACCCTTTTACCAACCCCAGTTATTACACCCCTTTTTTCGTAATGCCTCTAGGTAAAACAATCCAGACTTTCTATGATATTTTCGTACCTTTATTTCACACAGTTTTCCAATTTTGTGTTGCTCTTCATCGGAGTACACCTTCAAAAACTAATAAGATGGACCTTGTAGTCAATATTATACAATATACGTAACTATTCAAAAATGAACTATTGCCTGTTCATCTAAAATTACAAGATATGCTCATGATTAGGTAAAATAACGTTATTATCGAGATCATTGCCGTGCATTCTTCTAGTTAAATAGTGCATATCAGTTACGATGCTCCTACAGTTTAAGCTTCTGTACCATGTCAAAAATATATACCATTACTACAACTGTTATGAATACTCTCCTCTATCTCCCGTTATGTCTGTCAGTTACCCCTTTTACTTTCTCAGTCAGTCCAAACCTAAAAATTGTTGAACAAGTTTCGGCATTCAAAATCGGGAGGCCAAAGCAGCTGGAACGTCATTGCTACTCTCAGTCGCCTAAAAAATTGTGTTTGGCTTAGTAAACTCTGGCGTTGGGGCCGCGGAACAAACACAGGATCGAGATCTCTCTTATACATTTTAAGCTATATAAAAGAGATGCAGCTGTGAGGATAAAGTCACACAAGCTCATTGCTTACTTTGAAAGATTTCACGCTATATTTAAAGTCGAAAACGTGAGCTATTCAAAATGCAGGCAGATTGTAAAAAGCAATCGTGTGAATGGTATGCTATCGGTCTCTCATTTAGTGCAGACTATTCTTTAAATGTAGGAATGGTCTAAGAACAAATTAGCTGCGTGTATCTACTGAACTGGAGCCGACAAGAATATTTTGTTTCGCTACTTGTATCGACATGAGTCCGCAAACTGAGCCATTTTGCTTATATAAGGATCAGAGGAGCAAGCTATGGAGCTCGCTCTTTTATAGAAGTAATCCAGCTCAAGAAACTAGATGGAATACACTTTATGTATATTGATATTGTTATATCGATTATTATTCGCTTGGTGCTTTATAAGTCTATGGATTGAATGTATACCTATAAAAACTACAATTATGGATTTTATTGTGCGAACATCGCTTTCGAAGGAAGGGTGTGAATTTCAGGAAAAGGGGTGTGGACATGTCAGTTCCCTGAAATAAAAATATTACACGGAGTTGTTAGAATCACTCCCATTTTTTATAGATTAAACCTCTTAAATAGCCAATTCTAATTGGTAAATATAAATGTGTAATCTACCAGTCTAGCTTACCATTCACTACGGTACTATCCTGCTTGAACAATAGTCACGTTAGTGGATACATCTCAAGATTTTACCCGGTAAAAATGTCGACCGCACCTTTTCTTATCTCTGGCTTTTGTTCGGGCAGTACAATTAAACCATCCTGCTCACGGTATTCGTGACACAAAATTAGCCACCACTTTAAACGAAATATTCTGAGATTGTTGAGAGTGAGGGTTTATGTCACAGATTTTAATTTCTGCAAAGGTTTGACGATGGAATAAATGTCTAAATTAGGATAAATGACTGAATTACGAGCAGATTTCCGATACAGTAAACAAGCATTTTTATCCTTATAGACACTTCGCTTTGTCGATAAGTAGGAGGAAAGCAAAGTGCAGTATCGCGTAGTGTCTATGAAAATAGCTGATTATAATAACTGCCACACGATACTACAATTTATGACGATTGTGAACAGCCCCTTTTCGTCGTGTGACACCTGTATCGCTATTTCTGCTGATCGGTAAATGTGCATAACTACCCTTCATCGTCTTCATCGCCATTATCCCTGTATTTTTTTCGTCTTCTTCTTTCCCTTTTTTCCGTTCCATCCTTTTGTTAGTAAAATACATTATCGTTATATATGTTCGTTGAACGCCAATCAAGATGTGCATGGCCGTCTTGTCGATTTTGGATGTCGTTAGGTGTGTTAGCTCTTGCACTTTAGGCCAAAAGTAAAGTGTACCCTTTCCTCTTTCTAATATCTCAGTGACTATTTAGAATTAATAACCGCTATTTGAACATGATAGATCTGTAAGTGTATCCTTTAGGTTGCATGTGTAATCGACCCCTTTCTAGCAGCTCGTTGTGGGTCTTCCATACAAATGTCGAAAAATGAACGTGGCAAAAATACAATCTACCTCCATCTATACAATAAGCAAGATTAAATACGAGAGAAAATATGCTTTTACCCGATAAAGGGTCTTGTTACCACGCAGCTTGATGACTTTAATGCATCCTTTTGTCATATAATTGACGAGGTTGCGCATGGGTTCCGACTTAATACCTGCCCACTCGAACAAAATAGCCCTTGTTAGCTCGTTGGCATTTTAATAATTTACCTTTAGAGTACACTTTTGCTGCCAAGATTGACTACGTTTTTAATCAGGTTCAGACCAGGTGAGCTTGCTGGCCATTTCATCACCGTTGCTTTCTCCTCTTCAGTATATTCCACAATCAACTCCGACGTATGAATCGATGCTGTGTCCTACTCAAAGTGTAGTCTGTACCGTAGTGTAAATATACAAATGAAAGCAGGAACTCCAATAACGTGTGAACATAATGCTCAGATGGTTGCTCCCCAGTGAGAATTACTATCTCAGACATTCCTTTCGAAATGAATGCGGTCCAAAACATGACCGATCCATCACCAATTGTCTCCAGACGGTCTTACGAGGCGGGTAGCTCAGTTCACCCCAGTAGTTCTTGATACCATCGAGGCCCCCAAAAATTATTTTTTCCATTCGAGAAACTAAGTGCGTCCCAATCCGTTCCCATCATCACGTGGCTCTTGGCGTAAACATGTCTCTCTATTTTGTGCTCGCGTGGGGGAGATAGAATACAGTCCATTTTAGTATAGACAAGCCAGTTAACACCAAAGAGGCGGACGGTACGCGCGGAACACTTGATCTCCATCTTATCAGTCGACTAATTGAGCGTAAAAATTCACATTGCTGCCTCTTGCACGACGCACCGCAAGCCGCAGATTGTAAGAAGATTAGGACGGACTGTCGTGCTATATACTCGTTGAAGCTGCAACACGGATCGCACGCATGTGCGCGAGCGCTTAAGACGTATCTCAATGTCTTTAGTAGAGTGCTTAAACTCACATAGACCCCAAATTTTCCCGCTGTTCATCTGACATTTCTTGTCCTCGGTCCATAACTTGCAGAATGGCATTTGACAAGCGGCCTTTATCTCGTATTTAATCTTGCTCATAGTATGGATGGAGGTAGATTATCTTTTTGCGACGTTCATTTTTCGACATTTGTATGGGAGACCCCCAACGAGCTGCGTAAAAAGGGTCGATTACACATGCACCCTACACGATACACTTACGGATCTATCATGTTTAAAATGCGGTAAAACTCTAACCAGTAAAGATATTTTGCTATATGTATATTGTTAGCAAAGAAAAAGGGAGTGGGTCTAACAAAAAAGGGAGTAAAACTAACATTTTAATGTTTAATACTTATAACTATGTCATCCAATCAGCCGTATGTAGTTTATGCGCCTTCGTATTATAAAACTACATGACTTGCTTTTGAATTTGCAGGCACACGCTGCTACTTTGCTGACAGGTCGTTCGTACAATAAAGTGTAAGTCTGATTAGGGACTGACATCATGCCATTTACACGTTTCAATCGCAAAAGCTGCATGAATTTTGCATTGTGCTTTCGTCTACTAAAAGAGCGCAATACTATCGATATTACAATATGAGCTTGTAGAGTTTTATGCAAACACCTGCACCTTTTTTTAATCGTGTGAAGAGTTGTCACAAATATCCTGATTGTGCGTTTCTTTCGCGGACATACCGCTAGAGTTGCGTGAGCTGATCACAATGACGTAATTAGGTGTAATCAGTACAGCTGATATTTTTGCAGTTGCATTGGGCATCCAAATCTCAGATTCCTATATTTTTTACCTTTTAGTCTATTTTGGCTGTCGGGAGGGTGCAAAGAGGACCGAACGGACATGACAGG